ATGTATACTAGAAGTATAGGAATAGATTCTTTTCTATTTTCTTTCCACTTAGCTTAGGTAATTTAGTACGAGAATGAGTAGCTCCATGCATGTGTGTCACTCTACCCATTGATTTATCCTAATCCCTCCTTAGACTATGATTATTACAAGTAACATATAAATTATTAGTACATTTCTCTCTACTATCATCTTCCCACGGGATTAAATAAATACGATACCCTTGGAATACTCTCGGGTGAAATGCTACAATGGTATATCCGTGCGCTTGCGGATGAACTCTGTAACCATAATATACCAAGAGTATTTCTGCGCCATTGCTGGAGATTATATTTCTAGTAATGTCGTTAAGAAATACCAAGACTCCTTCATCAGTCTTGTCGAACTCTATGCTACTCAGGCACAAGATGGGCACTAAATTTTTGCTCCACTGTCATCTCCCAATCATGGTATTTCTCAGCATCATAATAACCCGAAAAAGATGGTATTTTAAACTTAACCTTAGCATAAGGGTCATCGGGCACACGATTATTATTACCTTGTTGGTGGTGGTCATTTGAAGTGCCACCCATACCTGTGCGGTATGTGCATAGACGACGTCGTAGTCGTGCTTGCCTTGTAGCTTCTGCATCAATATTGCCACTAAATCATACATCGTGTCCTCAGGATGGCCACCAGCGTTGCTGCCACTCACTTCCTCACTGGAAGGTTCTTGTGTCTCCAACGCAGCAACCCGATTAGCTAGCGTGGATATCCGCTTGTCCAGCCTCTCCATGTGGTTTAAGAAGCCACTTTTATTGATGGCATCTTGGACAGCCTTTGTAACGGCCTCCGTCATGTCATTTTGAGCAATTTTCTACACTAGTTCGTAGTTGCTCTTGACAGACTGTCGATATTTCTTAACGACATTACTAGAAATATAATTCCCAGCATTGGCGCAGAAATACTCCTGGTATATTATGGTTAAAAAGTTTATCCGCAAGCGCACGGATATACAATTGTAGCATATCACCCGAGAGTATTCCAAGGGTATCATATTTATTTTATCCCGTGGGAAGATCATGTAGAGAGAACTTGACTAATAATTTATATATTACTTGTAATAATCATGTTCTAAGCAGGGGTTAAGATAATCCAAGGGTAGAGTGACACACAAGCATCAGCTACTCATTCTCATAATATATTATCTAAGCTAAGTGGAAAGAAAAAAGAGATCATCTATTCCTATACTTCTAGTATACATAGTATACATACATTCTAGTTAACTGATATACTAGCTAATACCCTCTATCCGATGCCCTTCTGGTACTTCGAGAAGCCACCCCTGACTACCGAGTTTCTTACGACAGCCCGTCATGACCATATAACCTGGGCTAAAAATGGAGGAGTACCCTCCCTAGGGAATTAACTTAGGACAATATAAACGCGCGGAGGTATACCCGTACTAAGCTGTCACCATTAGCGGCCCACCTCTCATCCGCAGCATATAACCCCAAATAATGATATCCCGTAATCTAGACACTACGTCTAAACTACCAGATAATACTCTAATATCATCGTCATGACATAGAGTAATGGCATAAGCAAACATTATACCCGCACCAAAGCATCTCCCAGATAAGCTAGCAGCATATTCAGTATAACATGAACATAATGTAAAGTTGGCATTCATATACTCGGAAAGTATTTCAATACCGTAAATGTATAAAGAAGAGTATTCTAATAATAGTACAAAGCTTATAAAAGAGGAAAGGAAAGCTACTAGAGCCATACCTGAACTGTTCCGAACGCTTCCAGACTCCTGATTTTCTACTCTATTCCTATTCCACCAGCTTGATACTACTAAACTAAACTTAAGAGAATATGAGAGAGCTTTGCGTGAGGTATGTGAGTGAAGGGAGAAGGTGAAGTCCTTATATAGAGGTAGTTATGACGGTTTTGGAAGGGGAATTGTCCGAAGTGCCCTCCAACCGTCATTGGGATGCAATCCTGGACGTCCATGCCGAAACCTGCATCCAACGACACCAGGATGGGTTCGGCCGAACCATGGGCAAGGCCATCCCCAGCCCATCTTCGGCTGGCGGCCTCCTCTATTGCTCCTTTATGCAGACTTGTGAATTTTGGCCCAATTCATCGTGTCAATTCTGAGTTCTTGGCCCATTCATGCATAAGTCTGATTCTCGATATTATCCGAATGATTTATCGTTTGACTCAATGTCGATTCTCCTCCACTTTATGGTTATTCTCTGCAAAAGGTTAGTGAACCAAGTACTAGTGGAATATTATTACTCTAACATGTATATGCATTACAATCATCACTAGTTCACCTCTATTTTGGTAATATTGACGGTCAAAATTGATCGATAACGACCGTCAACACTGACACAGTCAGCAAAGTCCTGGGCAGTCCTCTCATCATCGTCACCTGCCATTGAAACACCAAAACAACAACAAATGTGAAGGTTATCCATAATAATCTACCAGGCAGGTGCAGTGGTGCCTCTCAACTACTCTCAGCAATATGAAGAACCTTACCAAGCCCTTACCAAGCAATGGATACCTGGAAGGCGTAGTCAGCGATTGTAGGGATCAAGAACATGTGCTGTCCAGAAGTAATATGTGGAGCTAGGAAGGCTAAATATATGTGAGTGGTACACAATCCAATGACAGATAGTAATGCTAAATAAAAATCCCAAGTCACTTGCCACTAGTTGCTGGTCTACTCGTGTCCTAGACAGTAGTGGTAACAATGATGGCGCAAATGAAGGACTGGCAGGCAAGCTTCAGCGAGTCTCAGCAAAAACAGCAAAACCGCAAGGCTGATAAGCACACCACGAAGTTACAGCTCAAGCAGAGTTGATATGTGGCCTATGGAATTTTCTGAAGCCACTATAAAGAATGTGCAGAAACTTGTGAGCTCGAACAGACAATTTTGCAAGCCAATTTTTTTCTGAGTCTGAGTCCGTATGCAAAAGTTATGGCTGTTTGAAGTTGGGGCTTCCGTGTAGGTTTTCCAGAGGGTATATAAACTAGTCTGTTTAGCGGTGGTATGGGATATGGTGGCAACGGAGTATGTAGGATGTTCTAGTGAGGTGTGGTGATCTGGATAGGTGTTTATGATGGCAGAAACGGATCTCAAAAGATGAACCCTAACACACGGATGAAAGGTGGCGGCTATGGTTACAAAGGAAAACACACGACTAGACTAAAACATGCACTAGACCATCAACAAGAACTTAAGCTAGGACTCAAACTCAACACTACAAACTCTGAAAAGGATTGTGCAAAGGCCAAACACGGTTTGGGTTAAGGACACTAACGACTACAACTTTTTTTTTTGGCTTTTCTTTAGACTCTAGGATAAATGCGAAAACAAAAACTAAACTAGGATAAAGAATCCGAGCGAACCTGACGGTGAACCTAGAGCTCTAATACCACTTGATGTTGACTAGGTTTCCCGATCTTTCGAAAGGTTCTGATAATCAACGATTTGGGCGGAGTCGCGACACAAATCGATCCGGCTTCTTGAACGAACACACTATTGAGCCCCGCAATCGCAGCACCACGTCTCCTCTGGTTATCACCCATGTCGAAACGCGGATGACCTCGCCGAGAAGGCTAATCCCTATTTGCGAATCGAAGAACACACACAGGAACAAAGAAGGACGCAACCAAAAATGCAGATGAATGAATAAGCTCACAAGTTGGGTCTTACAAACCGATCTAGCGGTGAAACTGTTCTCGACAGAATAATCTAAGCAAAACCCAAACCCTAAAGATGACGACAGGTACTGATATCAAGAGTTTAGGGTCATGCAACCAACCCTTAACGCAACCCTAATAGGTTCCAACACGATACACGGCCCGAAAGCCCAAATAGGATGATGCAGCACCGGGATATATTTTGGATGTCAACTTATTCAGTCGATTCCCGTTGACTCGGAAAGAATTTGGACGTGTGTCCAAAACCATTGGAAAGGATATCTTCTTAGCTTTCCATCCATATAGAGAACGCCCCAATCTGGTCACGTATGCGACCTGCGTGCCCATTTTAGTGCAGACTGATCCTAGACTCTGAATTGCACTCGAAGCCGACTTGGTTTGGGCCTCCACCTTGACTTGGATGTCCTCGATGATCCTCCATGACTCTAAGTCCTTTCCCAAGTGTCTCCTTTCCCCTTCTATTGTTCCTAATCACAATATAATCATTAGGTAGCAATCTATTCTCAAATTCGTACAAAAAAAGCACATAGGAACGAGCTCACCTCTAAATTCAATTGTCGCGCGCGAGCGCTTGTTATCGGTCCTTGAATGACCGGTGGAGGATTGTTGTGTGTATCCGAAGGAGTGATATCCGCATCACGTGTTTTCTCATCAGTTTATAATCTTTTAGGTTGAACTATTTGGTGCATGAAATTTAATAACATTTACAATCTTTCTTACATTGAAGACGCTAGAAATAGGAATTATTCCTAAATCCTGATAACATTTGCATATGAAAGTTTCTTATCAAAACCGTTACTCACATAGCGAAACTTACAATGACCTAAATGTATTAAAAAATTCAGTGTATGAAGCAACTCAGTGTAGTGGTGGAATGGGGAATAAAATGATTACGACTTGTTTGAAAACTCGAGGGAAGATGATTGGTAGTTTCAACGAGTAAATTGATGGTGAGATTAACATGGAAATTTGATTTTTAGTCCCAATCTTTTGTTTGGTAGAGGTGGTGGGAATTGATAGATGATTGGTAGTTTAGTTGAAGATTAGAAGTTAGAAAAAAAACAGGTGGTTGAGATTTTTTTTTAGATAAAGTATAGGAGAAATTTCCTCTCAATTACCACCACTATCCAGATATTAGAAAGGAGAGAGTTCCTTTATCAATTCCCATCCCTATCCCACCACAACTCCAATATCTCCCAACCAAATAGCATCGTCTCTCAAAACTCCCAACTCTATATAGTTGGTACCTACTAAGATCATTAACACCTATAAAGCAGCCCTCACATGAAGCCACGTCACCACAAATTCCAGAACCGTTAGATTTGATCTCAACGTTTGCAAACTCCCTCAGCTCTCCGTTACATAGCTCGGTTGCAGCAGCTGAGGCCCAACCCAGCTTAAGCGATTGATCCAGCCCATCCAGTCTCCTCACTTCCTTCTCCTCTTGCGGCATGCGAGTGGTCGATGTGAACTCCGATCACCACGAGTAACCATCGACGGCGGCAAGAACAATTACTTCTGAAAACCGATGCCACCATGATAGGCAGACAGATGGTCATTCTTAATGGCTCTAATGCCTTTTGTTCTCTTCTTATCCCCTCTTTCCATTTACTTATAAATTCATAAAATCATAATCATTATCAAGCGGGATAGTTAATCTATCAGGCCGATGGTGTTTCGCTCAAGTTGCTGGAGCTTGCTCGCTGGAAAAATATGCATCACTGCACCATCCTCTTCAATTTTCTCCAACGATCTAGCACAGGTTACCAACTTCCTCTTTGCCTTTGGTTGATTCATCTAATTTGTTTCCCCAAAATAGGACCAGCATTCTAATTTGAACCTGTATGTGTTCAGTGTTTATGCAAGCATGGCCCAATACATATTAGCATTATTTTCCCATTTTTGTTATCAAACAGTTTTCCCATGCATTTCAATTCCTTCCGTTTCCTGTCCCAGGATCCAGATACTTGATACTGAGTCAATTCTTTTTTTTATTTGTCCTGAACTGCAGATCAATTTTCATTATTCCAGTTGAAGGATACGGCCAACAATATCACGTAGATCAATTGGTTGATTTGTCATCTACATATTCAGATCTAAGAAGAATATAACTCACCAAGTTTGCAAGTTGAGTAACACTTTCAAATTGGATGGGTATGTTCACCCAATTATGTTTTCTAATTTGTATTTCAGTTCTGATCTTTACCTGGTGAGGATATCTTCAATCTTAGAAATAGATTGGATTGGCTTCTGTCTCAAATATATATGTCAATTCATTTCGCTGTCAGAGCATCGAGCTGCTCCCATTAAGGCCGTGTGAAATATGTGAATGGATATGAAATATGTGATCAAAATGAATGTTATGTGAATATGGTTGTGTTAAATATATTGATGGTTGTGTATATGAATGGGGGTGTTGGGGTGTGACATCCTGGCCTAGGGCTTAATAGGATTAATAGAATACTCATACCAACAAGTTCCAACAACTTGTCCCTTAATCTAATGCTTTTAGCTGGCTGAGGGAATTAATACCAGACATATCACACGCATGTTTTTAGTTTTGTTGCATACATATACAAGATATCATATGGTAGATATCAAATGGATCTGATCTAAACATTTCACATTAAGTAGGCGTGGATGTAACTGGGAAAACTAAAGACATCTTAAAAGATTTGGAACATGATGATGCAAGTTGCAGTACATGAAATATATAGCGCTGATAGGACAATATTAAAATATGGACATGTATTGGGCCATGATAAGTTATTAACGACCGGTTGATAGGCGTACCGACAAGAGCTGATTAAGGTCACACCACTATTCCATGATTGAGGTCACACCACTGTTCCATGATGGAGCCTACCGGCGAGCTGATTAAGTAATTGAGATAAAAAAAAAGAGAAACAATCAATCAATAGGACATATCGTCTTCAATGACAAGGCACATCTGTGACAGTACCATACACAGTTGTATCTTGTGGCTGGATAGGTTATTAGGATATGTAACTGCCACCTACTCATGTTCTACAGACGTGGCTGTGATTAAACACACATTATATAAGGCCACTGTTCCATGATTGAGGCAACCGATGAGCTGATTAAGTAATCGAGATTAAAAAAGAGAAACAAGTAATCAATAGCACATATCGACTTCAATGACATGGCACAAACGTGACAGTACCATACGCAGGTGCATCGTATGGCCGGATAGGTTAAAGGACATGTACCATCCATCTACACATGCTTAAGAGTCGTGGCTGCTGGTTAAGCATGCAATCTATAAGGCTTCACGATATGTTATAAGCGACCAGCTGATTGATGAATCTATCGGCAAGAGCTGAATAATTGTGGCTGCATCACTGTTCTATAACGGTTGGTGTACTTGCTCGTAGAATATTTATTGGGGATTTGAGTGAGTTAGGCTACCGGTTATTTATTTTTATTGATGACTAGTTCTGCCCATTTTTATGTAAGTATAATCATTCAGAAAATAATTGGGGGTTGGAATTAGGCCTGCCACATAGAAATATGTGGGTCCACATATAGAAATCGACCAAAATTTGTATAAATTTGTTTTCCATATAATAAATCATCCCTCTAAATTTTAGTCAAATTTTTTGAAGTTATTTAATGTGAACGCGAGTTTCTGCTAGGAGGGTTGTTCCCACTATGAATACTTTCATATAGCTTAGTACCTTGGCACTTTTGGATCACAGTATAAACCCTCGAGTGGGAACAACTCACTGAGATCCAAGAGTGATCATAGGACTTTTGGTTCACAGTGGCAACTCGGCAGTTATTGTATTATATATCTATGCAGAAAACTAAATGCCCTCTGCAGTCTCCAATTGAGACACTAGTCCTATGTAGAAGAAAAACACGGTCAATAGATCCAAAGCAACTAAGACAACTGGCAGCGACTAAGAAGTGCATTATAGATATCTGTTCTAATATTAATGTGATTGTATGATTGAAAATAAAAAATATCCTGGAAGAAACATAACCTAGATATATATCCCTTATTTAATTAGTGTCCTTGGGAGTTGGACAGTGGTTGGAGAGATGAGGGAGAAATTTAAATGATGAGTGATTGGAGGAAAAAATAGTACTCTAGAATTGGACTTACTTTTTACTTGTTTTTAATCATATGGAATTACAGTTAATTTATTATTATAGGAGCGAGGGAGTAAATAATTGTTAGATGAAATATGTTTGTACCATATTTTTTTAAAAAAATCTTCACTGTAGGTCCTCACTGATGAGCATGTTTTAAGCCCCCAGCAAAGCATGGTGTGGATGTTCCACTGCCAAAGCGTGTTTACCTGGTTCAATCATTCCATGTGGTTGTTAGGTGCAAGCATAGTACGCAATAGTGATGTTGTTGCTTGTGTATTTTCTTAGCTCTCCAAACAACTACTTAAAAAGAGTTATGGTACAGTGCCCAAATAATGAGATTAATGATTGTCCCATTGCAGTGTGAACAAATTAGATGTACACCGAAATGCTTAAAAGAAAAATGATATTTCATCGATTAAAATCAGAAGATGAATAACCATCTAAGAAAAGATGTGCGTTGGATCGCAAAATCAGTTGGCATAATTGCCAAGGAATACTCGCAACAAGGATTATAATTTACTGTTACAATTAAACAGTTTCTTTATATAGGAATCTTTGTAGTGAGTTATGCAACAAGGAGCAATGATATTGGTAGAGTCAGTGATTTACATTACAGATTGAAACCATCATTATGTATTGTTTTCCATCGATCATGGAAACTGGCTTGAGTACTGCTCCTGAAACTATTATAGTGCTAAGCTGAATAAAGCCCGCACAATCGATTCAAAAAAAAAATAAAGCCCGCACAACGAAGATTGTTACATGACTTGTCTCTATCAGTCTGTTGCATGAAATTTAACGAGCGCGCTTGGGAGTTGGACTGTGGTTGGGTAGATCACGGTGAAATTTAAATGATGCGTGATTGGAGGAAAAAATAGTACTCTAGAATTATACTTACGTTTTTCAAGTTATGAATCTGTTAACAGGAAATTTGGTAAGATAGACTCGAATTTGGAGTTAGATATAGACGCGGAATTGAAGGAGATTGAATCTTACTAAATACGGACTGCGCATCGGCTGGGTATCCCATTGGCTAGAAACAGAATTGGAAACAGATTGACACTGGTACAGATCCTCTCATCTGTGACGGCCCATCACATGCCTGGACAACGTGGGCCGTCAGAACGAAGTCATCTCAATCGGGCCTAAATTTTTTCCGTTGTAGACGTACTCGTCGGGGTGCATATTCCTATAGCCCGTCACCGATGACACTCATCTGTGACGGGCTCGAAGTTAGGCCCGATTGAGATGACCTCCACTATCTCGATCGGGCCCAAATACTGAGCCCGTCACATATGAGTGTCATCGGTGACGGGCTCCAAAGAAGGCCCTATTGAGATGGCCTTAATGCCTGTCACCGATGACTCTTATCGGTGTCGGGCTTCTATTTGTACCAGTTAGAGATTAGTGTGCGCCCGTTAGAAATGACATTTTTTTGGCCCGATTGAGATATACTTTGCACACTATATATACTCCAGTAGTCCGTTGTCTGTAGTTTATCCCACTGTTCACTATTTTGGTGGGAGGTTGAAGGGGGCGAATTTTTGTAATTTTTTTGCAAACAAAAACAGGAAAAATCATAAAAGTAAGTAAAAGGGTACTAATCATTTCCTATTAATTTAGTAGTACTTATGTTATGAGATGTTAACTAATATTTTGTTCATTGTTCAGCGATGGATCGAAGTTGGATGTACACGACTGGCTTGAGGCGTCATTACAAGGAGTATAGAGATGGCGTATTAAGTTTTATGAAAACCGCAGAGGAGGATAGGATAAGAAGAAACAACAAGTACATGTGTTGTCCATGTAGCGATTGCAGGAATGAGATTTTGTGGGAAGATGAAAAGGAAGTACACGCTCACTTGATACGCCGGGGATTCATGGAGAGATACACATGTTGGGTGATGCATGGAGAGCAAGATCTGGGTACTAATGGTGCAGCAGCAGACAGAAGTGGTGCAGACAATCATGAAGAAGTAGATGAGAAGAGCATGACATGTTTGTCCCATCTCCATTGGGCGGTGAATTGGTTGATGTGGACCCTGATATGCGGCAAGACATGTTACGTGACGTTGATGACCTAGCTATGAACGAGAGAGATTCCATGAAGTTCAGCAGGTTGGTCAGTGACTCGGAGACTCCTCTATACGCAGGATGCAAGCCAAAGCACACCAAATTATCAGCAACATTAGACCTAATGAAGTTGAAGGCTAGTAGTGGATGGTCAGACAAGAGTTTTACAAAACTTTTGGGAATACTGAAGGACATGCTTCCTCAGGGGAACACATTGCCCGAGACGACATATGAAGCAAAACAGGTTCTCTGTCCCCTAGGGTTAGAGGTCTGGAGAATTCACGCGTATCCAAACGATTGCATATTGTACCACAAGCAATACGCGGACTTAGATGCTTGTCCTGTCTGCAAGGCTTCTCGATACAAGCGAAAGAAGAGCGCGGGCGAGGGAAAGAAGTCAAAGCGGGGTGGTCCGGCGAAGGTTGTGTGGTATCTACCAATCATTGATCGTTTCAAGAGAATATTTGCCAACCCCACTGAAGCAAAGTTAGTACATTGGCATGCCACAGAGAGAAGGAATGACGGTTTGCTAAGACACCCTACAGATTGGATTCAATGTTGGAATATCGATCGAAAGCACAAAGAGTTTGCTGCCGACCCCAGAAACGTGAGGATATGTTTGTGTACGGATGGCATGAATCCTTTCGGAGACATGAGCAGTTCTCACAGCACTTGGCCAGTTCTCATTGCGAACTTTAACCTCCCGCCATGGTTGTGCTTCAAAAGAAAATATATTATGTTGTGCTTATTAATCCAAGGTCCGAGACAACTCGGCAATGACATCGATGTGTTCTTGGAGCCTGTTATCGATGACCTTGAGATTCTGTGGAAAGAGGGTGTGGAAACTTGGGATGCATATGGTCAGGAGAACTTCACACTACAAGTTCTATTGTTCTGCACCATTAATGATTATCCCGCGCTGGGTAATCTTTCTGGACAAACCGTGAAAGGAAAGAAGGCATGCTCTGACTGTATGGAACATACACACAGTAGGTGGCTAAAGAAATCAAGAAAGATGGTTTAAATGGGTCATAGGAGATGGCTCCCCCTACGGCACGCCTTTAGAAGAAAGAAGAAAATTTTCAATGGTAAGAAAGAACTTGGGTCTGCCCCTGCGGATTTGTCCGGAGATCAGGTACACAATATGGTGAAGGACATTACTAATGAGTTTGGGAAGAAAAGAAAACGTAGCAA